AGACAATTATAAGACACTTTTATATGGAGAAACAGCAGAGTTATAGGAATTGTATTTTTTACAGAGGGGCCAAAGGGCCACAGACAGATGACATAAAACAAAAGTAGGAACGCAATAAAAAAAAATTGCAGTTACACAGTATAAAGAAGAAGTCGTATCAATCCTTCTCCCCGAAGAAGCTTTCCATCTAACATCCTACCAGACTTATTAAAGAGCAATAGCCAATTAAAGTGGGCCTATCATCAGATATATATCTCATGATAAAGCTGAACTCCGGGATTAGCAAATATTGCCCCCCCCCCCCCCTCCCCAATCAACAGAATGAGAACATTTTCCATTTGGAGCAAAGGATACTTCAACAGCCTGTACAAAAATAACAGTCAGGACCAGATTTCCCACATGGCCAACCAAGGCCCGGCCTCGGGGCAGCAGGGAGTAGAGGGGCAGCAGGGGTGTGGAATTCCTATCTCCCGATGCCCAGGACATGCAGTGCCGGGCGGGTAGTTATTTTCTACATTTAGCCATGATTTGGGCAAGCAGAGCTAAATGTACAGCGGGGAAGCTATCTCAGTGATTTTGCCGAGATCACTTGTATGCAGCCTGCAGGTCTGCCATTCTCCATGGGGGGTTGGCGTGTAAAATACAGGTTCGGTAATAAATATCAGCTACAAGGTTTATCATTTCACATTCCTCCATTCACAATATCCAGTCTGTTGTAAAAGGCAGGGCCCCGCTTTAGGCCCACGGCACGGACAAGAGGTGCAATCGCCAAGACTTCCATCTGTCGGCAGGAAATGTTGCCATTACAGGAGCTCGGCGGTCGGGATATTTCTGTCCTTTCTATTTTCTACCTTTCTACTCGCGTCGTATTTACAAACAGGCGCTCCGCCATCGACGCCCCGGTGATCGTGAAAAACATCTCATTCTATTCCGCCCATTGTCTGTGTTTTGACTGCGCTGTTTACCGCCCTGCAGAGGGCTCGGGCTGGTGGGGGCGCGGTATGATGTGAGAGGGCCATGGAAAGGAGGGAGAGGGCCAGGCTGGGCTCTCGAGGATATTTCTGTTTATCAGCTTCAGACAGAAGGGGCGGAGAGCCAACGTAAGGTATTAAAAATAGAACTTCTGACCACCCATCCACGGGCAGAGTTTGCTCAGTCAGTATGAAAGATGAAGATGACGTTACCCCTGACAGCCAATCAGAAATCATCTCTCAGCCATCACTGGCACTGTAGGCAGGTCAGGTGAAAAGCGGCCCTTTGCTGCGTTTGGCATTGGAATGTATGTGTCTGAGCTGGGCTGTGCTGGAATACAAAAGCAGAACACATCTCTGCTTTCCACCATGGAGATTGTTGGGGTAGAACTCACCAGACATAAGAAGTCTTGGAGCGGGAGGTGATCTTATACAGTTTGGGCAAAATACAAATTAATTCCCAGGGAGGAGTGGGAACCTTCTGCCTGCTGGGGCAAACATAACCCACTAGGCTAAAAAAAAACAAAAACAACCAACTAGCCCTGGGGGGCAAAAACAAATGCAACCAACTAGCATTGGAAGGGCAAGCACAAACACAACCAACTAGAACTGGGGGGCAAAGACAATCACAACCAACTAGCCTACAGGGCAATTACAAACACAGCCAACTAGCATTGAGGGCACAGACATATGCAACCAACTAGTCCTGGCTGGGGGGGGGGGGGGAGGGGGGCAAGCACAAAAACAACCAACTAAAACAAGGGGGC